GCAGCTCCCAGCAATTGGCATCCAGGGGCATGCCACCGCCAACAGTGGTGGCAGAGCATAACCAATGTGGCTAGTAGCCATTGATAGCCTTATCCTTTACAAAGCTGTCTCTAATCCTCTTTTACAGCTATCCAAGTTGATGGCCATCACTAGCTCCTGTAGGAGTGACTTCCATAGTTTAACCATGCACTGCGTGAAGAAGTTCTCTTCTCTCTGCTGACTCTTCCAACATCCTACTTCATTGGTTGTCCCCCAGTTTTAGCATGAGAGAGGGAACACACCAGGCGACAGGCCACAAAGCACAGGGAAAGTGCCTTGCCAGGGGACTGTCCCGCTAAGAGTTCTCCCAAAGGGGGAGTATCTTCAGAGCCACTTGGAGAGCCCACCCCACTTTTAAGGTCAGGGCTCTGCTCATCTCTTAAGTTTGTTTATTCACACTCCTGCCACCTAGCCTGCCCCAGAGTTTTCAAATCTTCCTCTCTTACTGTTTCTCTCTCCTTGGTAACTGCTTGCTGCTGAAGGAGCATACTGTATTTTGAATGAGTCTTCCAATAAGCTTTGTCTAAACAGAAGTGGAATTTATCAACAAAGAGATGCCCACTTTAAAACAAGAAGTTTTATAAAGGGGTCTGTTAATATATAATTCTGTATGCACTGAGTGTTAAAACAAGGCTATTGATTTTATGTTGAATTGAATGTTGTTTTGTTAAAGAAGATTGGTTTGGATTTCTAAAGGCTTGCTTGCTTCCTTGCTTGCTCTTTCTTTCTTTCTTTCTAAAAAAGAAATAGCTGTGTGTGTGTGTGTGTGTGTGCGCGCGCGCGCGCACGCGCGAAGGCCAGTCTGGGACTTAGCAGATCCTCAACTGGCAATGAAAGCTTGTTTTCCTCTAGAGTGGAATCTCTGGAGAGTTGAGAACTCATACTTTCCAAGTGCCTCATTGAGGTGAATACATGGCTGACACAGGATTAATCAAGATAGGTTTCTCTCTTTTTGAAGCTCAAATTGAAATGCTGTGATGATACGCTTAGGCTCAAATGTTTCATGTAGCTTCTTTGGCCCATTAAGGTCTGCATTAAAAATGTCATACAGACTACTTCTGCTATCTCAGCCTCTATTGTAACATTGAGAACTTTGTGTGATTTGTCAGGAAAAGGTTCTCTGTGTTCCAAAATTATTTCCTACATATTAGAAATATTGGTTGCTCCTCTGTGGAGAGTGGAAGTAGGGTCAGGGGGGTGTCTTTGGCAGTGGGAGAAGGAATAGGTATGCTCGATCAGGGTCTGGGGTTCTAAGGGAGCCTGGAATACTTTGCTGGTTTTTAAGCAGAGGTTGGATGGACATCTGTCATGCATGATTTAGTTGAGATTTCTGCATTGCATGGGGTTGAACTAGATGGCCCTCAGGACTAGATTACCCACAATAAAACAGAACACCATCTAAGCAGTGCAAAAGAACATGACAATTAATCCAGACTCTCTAAAGCAGTCCACTTCCACACTTTCTTATGGGATACAAGCCCACATGAACCATGTTTGACATTCCCTTCCTGCTTGATACCATAAAACTGGTATAAATGATATATTAGAAACCTTGTTGATCTCAGCTTTTAAGATCTACCAAATTGCAATTATTGTCCCCCATTTATATACCTTTTAGGTATTTATCATGAAACCAAAGTACCAAACAAGGACAGGAAGTTTTGAAGAAGCTACCACAGCTGCTGCCAGTGTAGAGCTGAATTTAACAGATGAACAAAGGACGCCACTGTACAGCCCCTTGAAACTGAAAAAAGCATACCACAGAGTGTTGTCATAAGTTCAGATGGAAAAGGTCAGTCTATCTGCTTTCTCACAAATGAAATCTCTGGGTTTCTCTTCTTTCCCCATAGCTCACAAAACAAGAACAGCTTTGATGGCAGAAATTCTGTCAGTTTCACAGACTGCAGCGCATTTATTATAGTAGCCAAAGTTCAACCTAAATAGCTCTGCTTCTGGCCTGGGCTTCTGAAAGATTATGTTTCATTAGTTTCTACTTAGTCTCCTAGAATAAGGGTGCAATCCTGTACTCAGGATCTGCTGGTTGAGGAGCTGTGTTGGAAGCTCCACCAGCAGTGAAAGCAAATGGGATGGGGTGGGATGGGGGTAGAGCACGCTCATTCTAACACATTACCCCTCCACATATTTGTTAACTGACTACATCCTGCTAAGATTCAGAGCCAATCTGAAAGCAGCATCTATTATGTTTTTCAGATCATCTGTAATCACAAACACACACATTATTTAGTGTAGGACTCAACGTGTCATATATCAGAATTATTCCAGGAATAGAAAAACTACAAAAACCAAGGGTGTTCTTCTGCCAATGCAACGGTTTGACATCACCCCCCAGAGGAGTCTCTCAAGACAAACGGTTGCCAACAACAACAACATTAATCTTCCCACTATTATAATCTCAGGAAACAGCCACGGCCCTTTCCTTTGCTCCGATTGTCCTTTTCCTGCAAGACTAGTACTGGGCTGACCACAGCTGCTGTAGGAGATGTAGCACTGCACTGGAGACAGGGTGTTTACCGTATTTTTCGCTCCATAAGACACACCTGACCATAAGACGCACCTAGTTTTTAGAGGGGGAATGCAAGAAAAAAAATATTCTTTAAAGGGAGCACTGAGCAGAGCCTGTATGCATCCCAGGCATACAGCGCTCCCTTTCACGAGCCACGTGGAGCATGTGTGTGGCGCTTGTAGGCTTTTCCCCAAGGAGAGACAAGGGCATCCTGTCACTGACACACACGCTCTGCTTAGCTCTTTAAAGGGAGTGTGGCTCTTGCGGGCTTTTAAAGGAGATGAGGGAAGGGACAGAGCTGCGCGCTCTGTCCCTTCCCCCATCTTCCGCAAAAGCCAGCAAGAGCCACGCGCTCTTTAAAGGGAGCGCGGCTCTTGCTGGAGGTGGGGGAAGGGACAGAGCGCGGCTAAGCCAGAAGCTAGAACAGCAAGAGGGATTGCCGTGCAGCGATCCCTCTCGCTGTTCTGGCTTCTGGGATAGCTGTGCAGCCTCTTCAGGGCAGCGGGATGAAGGCTCCCCGCTGCCCTGAAGAGGCTGCGCGTGGCTAAGCCAGAAACTAGAACAGCGAGAGGGAGCGCTGCACAGCAATCCCTCTCGCTGTTCTGGCTTCTGGGATAGCTGAGCAGCCTGCATTCGCTCCATAAGACGCACACACATTTCCCCTTACTTTTTAGGAGGGAAACAGTGCGTCTTATAGAGCGAAAAATACGGTAACCCTTTTCTCCCATGCAATTTCCCCAAACTTTTTTTATATCTGCAGTGGGGGTTGGGGAGAAACATAGGCACAATATGTGTATCTGCTGTTCTTGTGGGGTGGTGGTGCAAAAAGACAGTAAGACTCTCCCCCCCCCCCTTTACTGTTGAGCAGAAGAGGGAATTTCAGTTTGTAATGTCAGTTGAAACTCTCTCTTTTATACAACTATTAAAGGTACAAGCACCGTTTCTTTTGCACTGGGCTACCCTAATTTCTTCCACTGCAAAGCTAAAAGCACTTTCTTCAGGGTGATTCAGATTGGTCTTCTCTATACATGGTGCTTTGAGGAAAATCAGTCCCACACACCTCAATAATTAAGATCACATCCTCACATCAGTTGAGAGATATGATCATGAATCTACCATGTCTTGTGTGGTTTGGTCATCAGGAGAATTCTTCACTGTAGCCCTGCCCTGGTGTTTTGTTTTGTAGCCTTTCAGCTGCTGCTGGAAAACGTTCTGCTTTATAAACATTTATCAGTTTTTATGATTATCTAAGGAAGTAAAGAACTGAACTCTGAGCCAAGTAAATGTTCTTTATTGAATCAGGCTAAAAAATATTTTCATGTGTACTCAGATTGTAGAAAAGAGCAAGCCTATGCAGGCTTGGATAGCTAGTTTCTAGATGTTTATTTTCTAATGCAGAATTCTCAGCACTGGGAATAAAGTAACCTTTATAAAATATGAGCCTGCTTAAGCCCAGGACAAGGAAGCAGGAAAAAGGAAATATGCTTAATTGTGACAAATGTCAAAAGAGGTCCCAAATTAGACCTGAAATCTGAGTACTCCATGGACATGTTACAAGAAGAAGAAATTATCAGTATAACTATCTGACGTTCAGAAGACATCTGAAGGCAGTCCTGCTTAGGGAAGTTTTTAATGTTTGGTGTTTTATTGTGCTTTTAATTCTGTTGGGAGCCACCCAGAGTGGCTGGGGTATAAATAAATAATAATAATAATAATAATTAGCAAAAGTTTTTCAACTGCCAAGTGGATATAGATAAATCAATAGGGCAAGAGAAAGGGACTTTTAACTAGATAATTAGAGCTGGGCAAAGCAGGAATAGTGTCATACAACCAGTGTTTTTTTCTAAATTGGCCAGTTAGTTATGGTAAGTATTTTTATTTATTTACTTGATTTAGCCCCCCCCCCTACACCCATGTGTCAGACCCTTTAGCTCCTCTTTTTGAAAGTAAAAGCAGGGTACAAGCGTTGAAATGAAACAATGCAGTGAAAGGCCTGCCTCCAGGGCTGGATTTAGGTTTGATGAAGCCCTAAGCTAGTGAAGGTAATGGGGCCCTTTATATGTCCAGCTGTCCTTTGTCAACAACAAATTGCTGCTGCTTTTTGTGCTGAATATATGCTATATGGTAATTTTAGGGAGCAGGCTAGCAGGTAGGGCCCATTACTTACATCATAGGAGCCTACACAACACAAAGCACTGTTGCTATATGTATGTTTTATTTTTTTTGGTTTTTATCTTATATTTTGGAAATGTACATCCAGTTTTTCCCCCTTTAAATTTTTTGGGGGACCCCAAGAGAGTGGGGCCCTAAGCTATAGCTTGTTTAGCTTATATGTAAATCTGGCACTGCCTGTCTCTATAGGAATATAGTTCCCCCTTTACTTTCTGACGGTAGTTCCCAAACTCCCCCTCCTCCTTTTTTTTTTTTAACACTACGCTAAAAGCTTGCTGGCGAATTACCAGTGTGTGTTTCCGAGGAGCAGGACAGAGGCCCCAGCTTCGTGCGCCAGAAGCCGCTCCTGACTAACCAGAGGCCGAGGAGACCCTCCCTCACCCTCACGGGCGGCGGGATCCTCTTCCTCCTCCTCTTCCTCAGCAGCCTCCCGCCAGCACTAGCAGCTCTCGGCCACCATGGAGCTGGAAAGTGCCATGGACGTCAACCTGAGGCCCTACAGCGTCGAGATGATAGGCGGCGACACCATCACGATCTGCCCTTACCCCTTCGTCGTCGAGCAGCCCAAGGACTACGTGCTCTGGTCGCTGTACAACTTCTCCTTCATGAACGCCTGCTGCCTGGGCTTCGCGGCCCTCGTCTACTCCATCAAGGTGAAGGCGCCAAGAAAAGGCGGGAAAGCTCCGCCAGTAAATCCTCCGGCCGTGTTCCTTCCTCACCCCTCACTTTGGTGTCCGCCGACGGCCCCCCCACCTCAAAATGGCTGGGCAATATTTTTGTCTGGCCCAGAATATATTGTACACCCCTGTTCTTGCTTCGTTTCCTGCCCTTGCTAGGACAACCCCTCGCTTTCCTCCACCCTTGACTCAGATCCTAGCGTTGCCCTTCCCAAGCAGCCTTTGTACTTTTCTCAGCGACTCTGGGAAAGTAGAAATCCAACAGCTGTGGCTCCCTGGTTCCCTTTGTGGTGGGAAAAGTATCACCTGTTGGATTTCTGCCAGTTACACAGGTATAAAACCCTGTGTGAAATGTGTTAAACTCTCAAAGTTCATCCCTGTCCGCTTTCCAAGGAATTTCCCACACACCCCCCCAAGACATTCAAAGCTGTGGATTCATTGTGGAAAGTTTCCCATCTCCTGTAATTCCATATCCGCCACACAGAATACATACATTTCATTTTTAAAATCATTTTTCTACTAAAAAATGAGGTGTGGAGGACATATTTAGAGGCACATGGCCTGTTTTGCTTCAAAGTATTAGGATTCAGCAGTATAAATTACTCAGTGACACTGAAGCAGTAGGCAAGGCTATTTAATTTTCATGTTCTCTAGCTTTGAGATGGATGAGTTTCAGAATACAGTTCATTCGTGTGTGTATGGGGGGAGAGAGCGCTAATACATCAGTTATATTAATAGGATTTTTGGTACATTTGAGAAGAAAATGCCCTCCAATCCCTCTTACCGCCTTAGTTATTAAGACACAGTCTTGGGCACTGTTTGGGGATTGATAGTTAATGTCTGCAGGGGTCTCCAGCTGTGGCACCTGTGGGCACAGTGACACCTTTGAAGTATTTTCTGGTGCCTTCAGCACCCCTGAGGCTCTTCCCGCTTACTGCCTCCTTCATCATAAGGCGGTAGTGTGATGGTGAGGGTTACTGTTTTCTCCCATGAAAGTACCTTTGAAGGAGAAAATTGGAAGCTTGACACTCACTTCCTCTTTCAGCTGTACCGTAAAGTATGTGTTTTCTCAAGGCTCAGGGTAATTTTACTAGATTCAACTTTTACACAGATCCCTTGGGAAAGTGAGGTGTGTGCATTGTTTGTATGCGGATCTGTGTTTTGCGAAAGTGGGAAGTGAGAACAGATGGTCTTGAAATGGTATAATTTGTTTCTAGGTTCCTCTTCCAACAACGATCCCCTTGTTTCCTTTGACTAAACTGTAAAGATCACAGATCCAGTGGTCTCTGGATCTGAGACACATAATCTTACTGATCTCAACTTTTAATTCTTTATTTTTTTTACAAGGAATCTCCTTAAAACCACCATCAAATCATCGGTCACCTCTGTGTCCACAGATATAGTCTGAGATTTGTGGGTGGTTTTGTTGTCATCCTATGCAAAAATCATGAGGCTCCGTGTTTTAAATAAATGTTTTTTGAGGTAATAGGAAGCAACACACCTGTGATTGTTACTCTTCAGTCTGTCAGTGTAAGCTTTAATCATGAGGGTTGGGGTGTGTGTGGCTTGTATAAAATCATGCACATTCAAGAGGATCCATTTAAAATTTACTGGATCTGATTTTTGCTCATGGAAAAGTAAAGTGAATTTGAAGGTGGGCACATGTGCTTCTATCTGTCTTGGGAGAGAGGAAAACAGGAGTTGGTTCTTATTACAGTCTCAACGTTCCAAATACTTCCTTGGGCCTAGAAGGGTTGGTGGGCTCTCATTAAAAGAATATGAATGAAGACAGATGATGCTGAGGCTAGAATAGGATGCAACCTTTTGGGAAGCAGGAACTTTCATTTTGCACAATCCTTTGGTCACTAATAGCACTGAACAGGAAACTGTAGATTTGATTATGATTACACAACAGCCATGGAAAGTCCATTTGAGCTTTAGGTGTTGTAAGCATGTGCAAATGTTTCCAATGTTAATTCTCATTTGTTTGTTTGTTTGTTTGAAAAAATTCTCTCCCCTGCAGGCAAGGGATTGTAAAGTCGCTGGAAATGCTGAAGATGCAACTAGATATGGCAAGAGAGCCAAGATTCTGAATATTGTTGCAATAGTTCTGGGTGTCTTGTTGTTCCTTTTGCTCTGTGGCTTGATTGCCAGTGTTTTAATAGCTTTACAAGAAAGAGTCCAGAAGTTGTTTAATGAATACAAAACGAACATGGGGGATGTTTTTGGATCAGGGAGTGGATCTGGGGCATCCTAAACAAATCTTTAAGCACTGGCTATCCTTTCTTCTGCTTGTGAAAGTGCCTGCCTTGCTCGTTCATTTGCCAAGGCATGAGACCTTCTGCAAAGCAGTACTACTCGCATTTATGAAGATGTACTGCCACTGATTGCCTACCATCCAGTTTGAGATGTTTATTGAAAAAAATGCAATGCTTTTATGAGCGGTGATTTCTCTGTCCCAAGCTCTGGATTTGCAACATTTCCAGTTCTGTTACTCATGGGAAGTGCCATATTCATCTGGTTTTTCAGTATTTTGGCAAGTCTCCAATTCAGTATGTGTATTAGAGCTTTCCTTTAGTGAAATTTTACATTTGATGTGAATTCTAAGAAAATAAAACATATTTTGTTATTTGGTGTAAAGTTACTCTGTTAATCACCCAGTAGAGGGGCATCTTTTCCAACTGGCAGTTTGTTGAGCTCCGCCAAGACCCAGCCAGCTCCTCTTCCAATGTTGACAACCTTGGCTGTCTCCTCCATTGAAAATGAGGCTTTCACACTACTTCCCACGGCCTGTGGAATTGGACGGAGCTCTGGCAGGAAGAAAGAGAATGCCAAACAGTGAAGCAACAACCGTGTGGTGTGGTTGGCTTTGCTGCTCATTTGGTTTTTCCGCTTGTTCACTTGTCCAGGTAAGAGGGTACTGCTCGTTTGGCCCAGCTCAGATAACTTGTTTCTTGTGGAAATCCACCCCAGGACTAGAGAAGGATGAGAGAGGAAAAGCTTTTAATCACCCCTTCTCCGTCTCCCTCTGACTACGCAATGTTGTCCAGATGGGGAAGCTTGCACACTTGACATGTGAAGGGGGTGGGACAAAAGGAGTTACTCAGAAATCCAGCAAAGATGAGGATAGCAAAGTTTTGGTGCTGGCAGGTGGCTGGAAAATGCAGATGAAGAGATGGACAGAGGAGATTATAGGGTTGGATGGGAAGGTGAGAAGGGGGGCACACTAGAACACAATCTATTTGGGAACTCTTTGAATACAGGCCACTCTCTTTTTTGGAAATTATTCTCTTTATTTCTGCGAGGCCAAGAGATGGGTCTTGTCGTCTGGACAACCTGGACATCCATGCACACTGCCCAGGCTTCTGTCCTGGGAAGGTTACTTCAGTGCTGCTAACACAGCAGTTTGACTTCATCCTCAGAGGCACACTCCATTGTCTCTTGAGAAAGACAGATGCCAACGACAAGAACAAGAGTACCTAGGAAGCTAGTGTTGAGTGTGAAAAATGGGATCTTTATTCCCTCGATATTAATTTGCTTGAATGAGAAAAGGGATGGTGTCTGAAGAGTCAGAACCACACCAGACAAAATCAATTTAATAATTGACAAATGGTGAAAAATTGTAGATATTCATTAAAAACAGTGATGCTGTTGTATCAAACAAAGACATGTTGCATTAAAGGCCAAGTCTGTGACCATTTAATAAATTTTGTTACTGTTGTATTAAAGTATAATAACTGAAACATCTACAATATGGCTACAAGTAAATGATAAAAGAGTGAATGAAATCTGAAGCTAGTTGTATTACCTAATTCAGGTATATTAAGAGATCCTAATATGAGAGTGATCAGTGCAGCTTTACTTCTTTTTTTTTTTTTTTTTGAATAATTTTTATTAAGAATTTCAGCATAACAATTTATCAAAAACATATCCACATTCTCCCCCCCCCCCCAAATTTTTCCCTCCCCAAGAATAACCCACCCCCGGACTTCCCTCAGCTCCTCTCTCTGGTTTTGTCAGCACATGTTATCTCTGCATATTATAAAATTGTAAAGATCCTTAAGTTATCTGTCTATCTGTCACCAATAATAAATTTGTGTATGTTTATTCAAACCCTGCCAAGGAGTCCAGTTCATTTTGTTGTTTCTTTAAATACTTTGTAAAAGGTTCCCATTCTTCTTTAAAGTCACAGTTGTCCTTATTGTGCAATTTGTGTGTCAATTTCACCAGTTCCGCATAGTCCATCAATTTCCCTTGCCACTGTTCTTTTGGCAGGATTTCTTTGTTCTTCCATCCCTGTGCTATTAAGACTCTTGCCGCCGTTGTTGCGTACATAAATATGTTATTCATTTTCCTTGGCAGATATTTTCCTACAGTCCCTAACAAAAATGCTTCAGGCTTTTTTACAAATGTTAATTGGAACATTTTCTTCAACTCATTATATATCATTTCCCAGAATTTTTTACTTTCACTACAATCCCACCACATATGGTAGAATGTCCCTTCTTTTTCCAACATACATTTGAACTAGTTTTGTACATTCTTGCTATCTGTACGGGTGTTATATACCATCTATACATCATTTTCATGTAATTTTCTTTCAGTAAAGAGCAATCAGTAAATTTTAAATCAGTTTTCCACAATCTTTCCCAATCTTCAAATATATTATGATCTATGTCTTGTGCCCATTTAATCATAACTGATTTCACCTCCTCGTCTTTTGTTTCCCATTCTAGCAGAATACTATATGCGCCTTTCAGCAACTTTACTTTCCCTTCCAGAACTTCCTTCTGAAATCTAGATGTCTTGTAACTGAATCCTTTCTTATTGTCTTTTTAAATCTCATGTAATTGCCAATAGTGTAACCAACTCCGAAAATGCTCTTTTATTTCCTCATAGTCTCTTAATTTCCATTTTCCTTCTTGGTCCTTTAACAAGTCAACATACGTGAGCCACTTTCCTTTCTTTCCAAGTAGTTTGAGCAGTAAAGCTTCATGTGGTGAAAGCCACCAAGGGGTCTTGTGTTCTAGTAAAGTGCAGCTTTACTTCTTACACTTTCCCATTCAGCTAACGTTAAAACAAAAGCAATAAAACTGTATTAATATACTATAAAGAATTAAATGAATTATTCCAGAGAAAGCAATTCAGTTAGTTACTAGCTACACTTAATTCCCAGCATAAAATAAATTATATCTACAGTGGAAAGTCCAGAATTCTCAAGTAGTATTCCAGATAAGAAACAAAAAGTCCAACACTTTCAAACAAAAGTTATAGTTCTATAAGTAAAATTAGTATTACCAAGGGGCAAAAGAAAAAATTAAATTAGGAAGGATATAAGTAATAGAAGTCTAGTCATGGGTGTAGCCCAGGGCTTTTTTTTTTCAGCCAGAACACACTGGCAGACCCTGGATGGAAGTTGGCGCGGCACATGTTTTTGGCACTTTTTAAGGTAGCCCGATGTGGCGCATATTTTTAGTGCCCCCCCCCAAAAGTTCAACAACTTTGGCACTGCCACCCTTAAAACAAGTAGAGAAATAAAAACACATAACTAACTGACCAACTGCATCACAGATAGCTCGTTTCTTTGCCCCCCAGCTTAAGTTCTGGCTACACTCATGAGTCTAGTCAGAGTTTTGGGCAAGATCTGTGAAAATGGACCTTGGAAGGAAGTAGTTTATGACAGATTCTTGGCCATGGAAACAGAAAAGCTGCAAAATTAAGAAAAGCGTGAAGAACTTAGATGGAAAATCAAAGAAGACATTGGTCAACATCAGAACCCCCAACGAATAGGGGAAACTGTGTCTGAGAGTGTGTGAAAACGTACTTGGAAGCAAATAATTCCTCCCCTGAAAGGATTCAGTGTCACTCCATGAATGTTATCTTCTCACTAATGCAAGGACAAAAATGTTCCACTCTTGCGAAAGAAACAGCACCAAGAAAGCCAGAGATTCTCCCACCCTTGTCTGTGTGTCAGTAGAAATTCTGTTGGCAACCGATCATAGTCGAAAACATTTCTTGCATTCTGACTGATTCTCTCTAGTTGCCCCCTAAATAATTTCCTCCTCTTTAAAATGTCCTCTATTAATTTATGATTTCAAGCAAGATCCTAGGTCTTATTTGTCTTTGAATCCTTCAACACCCTTATTCAAAGTGATCAGTGGTGCCATTATCAACAGACCATTGGGAAGAAGTCTGAGGCCCCAGCCCAAATGGCCACCTGCGTAGCAACTGCTGCCGGTGCCTGGGGCGGGGCATGCCACCTGAGTGCTGTCTTATTTTTCAAATGGTGGACTGACTGTGATTGAATTATGTGAACTGTGAACTTCTGGCTACTTCAGATGACAACTTTGAGCTAAGCCTCACTTTCCACCCAAATTCTGACTGTGAAAAGTTAAAGTGCAGCTTATATTCACGACCATGCAGTATGCAGCCAGGAGCGTGGGGCAAACAGCACCAGGAATGCGGCAAAGTGGTGCCCACCCCGCATGTAGTCCTCCGTCCTCTCCCCTATTAGTGTGTGAAAGCAGTACAGATCCAATGATCTCCAGACAAGCACCTCCAGATGATGGAGATGTCAGATGCCATCCTGATGCCCAGGTGTCTTCACTTGGTCGCAAGTGGCCAATAGCCAGGTGCAAAATGTTCCTGGTGCCTGTTTAATTTAGAACATGACTTTATTATGATGTCAGAAGTAATTTCACAAGCTACTAAACCACCCACTAATCTTGAGAACCTAATAAGAACAACAGGTCATAACTGTAAAGGGCTACTGTCTATACTTTATAACATATTAGCAGAGGGAAAGCAGGTACATATAAGGATTTTAAATCAACTTGGGAACAATATATTCAAACTACACTTCAACCACAACAGTGGGACACTATTTGTATCAAAGCTCCATTTAATTCTGTGCCACCAAGGATTAAAGATAACTTGATATAACTCATTTTACGTTGGTATTTTACTCCTTCCAAGTTAACTAGAATTAACTCAAATTTGCTTATCATGTGTTGGAAGAAATTGTGGTGAAAAACTAACTTTTTATCATATACAGTGGTCTTGTAAAGAAACATTTAATGTTTGGTCTGAAGTTTTTAATGTGATGGGAAAAATAATCAAAAAATGCAAGCCAATTGGCTTCATTGTTAATTTTTGATGATTCCTCACAAACTATTTTCTTTAAATATTTAATGATGATTTGTACTGTATTGTGGCAGACAGAAAAGTAAAAGCAGAACACTGGAAACAATATTCAATATTTACTGAATCTATGGTATAAGAAACTTTGGCAAATGGAAAACCTGGCTTTTAAATGGAAAGCACAAAGGAAATGACCAGAAGCAGTCAAGATTTACACCACATGGTACAAGTTTATTGAACTTCCTCACTGGCCTCACTCCAGTAGCTCACTTCATCTTCCTTCAACACACGGAATTCTGCCGATAATTACTTTTGTCTGCTCAGAAATCGCACGACAGAACTGACCATGATCTGTATAACATATGTTACGATATGCTCTGATCTTCCTTCCTCTCTGGTTTTTACTGACATGCTGTCTACCCTCTCCCATACCTTTCTTTTGTTTCGTCATCATCGTTATGCTGTTACTTTATGGTTATACGTATATGCACTACCTAAAACGTTTAAACCTCATTAAACACATCACGGAAGAAAGAAGGGTATATAGTATAGTATGCACGCAGCCATAGTAAAGACAGCTCACCAATCATTGATAGGGGAGGGAAGGGCGGCTCTGTAAACAATGTTTTTGTTTAATGTTAAAACCAATCCTGGAATTCAAAAATGCCGCGCAGAAAAGCAAATACTACTAAATGACCAGGCGGAAACCTAACTTGACAAATACTAGATTCAGGTAGGTATCCGTGTTGGTCTGACGCAGTCGATATATAAATTTTTTAAAAAGTCCAGTGGCACCTTAGAGACCAACAAAGTTTGTTCTTGGTATAAGCTTTCGTGTGCATGCTTATACCACTTGTGCATGCACACGAAAACTTATACCAAGAACAATCTTTGTGGGTCTCTAAGGTGCCACTGGACAATTTATTTTTTAATTTTTATATATATATTGACAAATACTGCCCAACCATTCTTGGAAGGATTCAAGCGTCACTAAACTTGAAATCTGGGAATAAAAGGAATACTGGAATTAGGCAGCCGAAATCTGACCTTCCTGAATCAAAACGCAAAGCAGCAGCATGATTCTCTCGCCAGCCTGGCGTTCCCTTCTCTTCCCATCACGAGGCTATTTTACCTTTGGGAGAAAGCGCCCGGAGTTAGAGCACTAATGCAGGAGAGAAGAAAGCAACTTCCGAGTTTTGTTCACTGTTCGCCTCCTAATTCTGAGTCCACCGCTTAGCCAGCAGGCTCTCCCCAAAAAGTTTTCCCGCCCACCCCCAGGGGCTCCCCAAGCCTTTGGCCGCAGCATATTAAGGTCTCACGTTGCGCGGATGACACTTGTTGAAAACCTACAGAGATTTTGTTTTGACTCTGAATACAACGCCAGCACTAAGCTCAAGAAGAAAAAGCGAAGAGGGTATTTGGGGAGGGGGTACAATAGTACAGGATCCCAAACCGAGGGGCGCACATCGCCACCCGATCGTTGAATAAAAGGAATCGGGCTCCGTTCCTTCCTTGATCCCCGTTTCTGCCGCACGAAACTTGTTGCAGCTGGAAGAAAGTGGTTTCGAAGCGGGTCTTGGCGAAGCCCCCAGGGGCAGCGCCGCCTCCCACTGCGAGGAATTCGCTCCCCCACCCGCTGCGCTCCTTCCCTTTCGTTTCCTGCGAGTCTGGGGGCCAAATTCAGCCCCTGGGCGCGTCCTGCCCAATCAGAGCGCGAGAGGCGCGCCCAGCCCCGGGCAGACTCCAGCCGCGCGCCCTGCGCTCGCCGTCGCCACTCGCTGGGGACCTCTCACCATGCAGACCGCTCCGCACCACCCCGTCGCCATCCATATGCAGCCTCACGACGGCAAGGAGTCGGACGCGCCGCCGTACCCCTACGCCAGAGCGGCCACGGGCCCGCAACCCAAGGACTACGTGCTGTGGTCCCTGTTCAGCTTCTCGTTCCTGAACGCCTGCTGCCTCGGCTTCGCCGCGCTTGTCTTCTCCATCAAGGTGAGGGAGCGCACGAGGGCTGCTTGACCTTCCTCTCTTCTCTGCTGCCTCCCTGCAGTATTATTGACTTCTCCCTTGCACCCCGTTGTGGCTGGGTTATAGTTATTTCTTGCTCCCTCCTCCGCCTAGCCTGGAGCACTCCCCTGCTTTGCTGGGGCAGTCCTCTTTATTTCTTCTGCCTCCCTCTTTAGCCGCTTTTGGCCACTTTCTTGGCCAGCTTTATACCTTAATCAGGTCCCCCCCCCCGACAAGTAGAAATTCAACAGGTGCAGCGTCTCTACAACAACCTGTTTTCTGAAATGCATCACCTGTTGAATTTCTGCCTGCCATGAAGCTCTTATGTAGGCATGACCCTCGCTCCCCGCCCCGAAATGTGTTGATTGTAAGCTAACTCTTAAAGTATTTTCCACCACACCCATTCCCAAGGAAGTTTTAATTCCCGTTACCTCATCTAGCTATGGTTTCATTAAGAGAACTGGATAATTGTAGGATGGAAAATCACAGGTTGAGGTTTACTACTCATTATCAGACATTTGCTGCACTCAGAGCTCTAAAACAATGGATGTGCTTGGGACTTCTTTTATTAATAATTAAGTATTAAATATATGAGCATATTCACTACTGTTATTTTCTAGCCGTTTGGAATCTGATGTTCTGTACAGTACAGGTTGAACATAAATCTTCCAACAGCAAAAACGAACAAACCATCAACTTTAGTTCTTAAGACTGTAATATGATGTCAGCAATTCCCTTACACTGGTAGCATATTGCTTTAAGTCAGAAAGAAAAGAACATCGCAAAATTAAAAGCACAGCATACGAGTAATTGTGTCCCTCACTCTCTGCAGTGTTTGTGAATGTAATGAAGGTTCCACCATTTTCCAGAGAAAGTGTCCTTGGCACATCCAACAACATGTGCATTTGTTACATTCTAGAATAGCAGTAGTAATAAATCTACTGTAGCAAAAAGGACAAAGGGGCTTTGTGGCACATGAGAAGCTAACAGTCAGATTTTGGTAGCATGAGGTTCTGTATGGGCTCTGGCTTTCTGGGAATGGCACAACACATGCTTACGATGAATGTTGAGAAATGTCATGTCATGATTTGGTCCTTGTTGTTGTCCTTAATATTTGCCAAAATTGTTGGGTGAAACCAAACTGCCCTCATGGCCCCTCTTTTCCACATGAAAACTGTATGCATAATAAGTGACCATGTAGTGAGAGGTTGGGCCATATTCTGGCACCCTTATTCTGGCATCCCCAGTGGCGTAGTCTTTGCTTTTAGAATGAGTGAAATGCTTTTAAAAGGCAAGGTTGTAAAGTATTGCATTAGCGGTTTGTTCTCAAAATGTTTTCTAATAATGATGGAATAACTATATCAAACAAATTCACAATTATAGTTCCTCTATTCCAGGGGTGGGGGAACATTATTTTTTGTTTCTGGGGGCTCTATCTTCTGTTGTAGAGGTTGTTGACAGGATTGGATCTGGTCCTGGGCAGGATTAGTGACAATAAGGGGAAGGGCTACTCTACTCTTCTCTTCTCTGCACCCCCTCCTACCCTCTGTCCCTCCAACACTGGTTTCCATTATGAGTTGTGGGAGGTGAAGAAACGAAAGATTTATTTTCCTCCCTGTGCAGCACAGAAATGAAACTTGCTGGTAGCTCTGGGGTGGGAGGGTTTTGGGGGTGGAAATTCCCATCTGTAGACCACAGACACTTACACATCGTTCCCCACCAGCTACAGGTGTTTTCTGTTGCATGTGAGAGAAAGTGGGTCTGTGCTTCTCTAAACAGAGGAGACTGAATCAAGAAACAGAGGTAACATGAAAGAGCAGAGCTGCTAGATCACACCCAGCCAACATCCTCCCATTTGCAAATACTGGCACAGGACTGCAAGAATTACTGAGCTCAGGCGTGTGAAGTATTGAGTGCACATTGCTAGGGAGGAACTCAGTGGAAATGGCTGCTGATAAAACAGCTACACAATACCTAGTTGAATCCCACGCCAGAATCTTAATCTACCATGTATAATCACCGTGTTTAAAAAACCATGAAAAGTCTATAGGGGCTTTAGGTAGTCAAAGCCTATCCAAATGTATTTTCAGTGTTAATTCTCATTGTTCTTTTTAATTCTTAATTCTCTTTTCTCTCCCTCCCATACCTGCCACTTTCAGTCAAGGGATCGCAAAGTTGTTGGAGATCCTGAAGGCGCAACTACCTATGGCAAGACCTCCAAGTGCCTGAACATCGCTGCTCTGATAGTGAGCGTCATAATATTAATCATCTTCATCATCATCCTTATTACCTTTGCAGCAGCTTTCCAAGCACAAATGCAAGCGATGATGAAGAAACGAAACTAATTGTAGTGTTGGCTCAGTGGCAAATTGAGAAGGCAGAATATTTCCCCCAGCATTATAGCATTGCTTGTAAGCTTGGGCTTGCCTTTGCTTCTCTGAGTGTACTCAACCTGCTCATCCACTTGCAAGGAAGGAGGCATTCCACACAGAACCTGGTACTTATGGAGATGCAGAAAGGTCGAGGCATGTTTGCCTAGAAAGATGACTAGATGACCCCTAGGGTCCCATCCAACTCCACGGTTCTATGATTCAATGAAAGATGGAGGAGAGACTCAGATGTCATCTTGAAATTCACCATCCAGTTTAAGATACTTATTGAGAAACAACGTTTGTTTGATGCTCTTTCTTTGTTCAAGATCTGGATTCTTGGCCTTCCTTCATCCTGTTGCTCATGAAATTTAATCATTTTTTTTTATTATTGGTTTTCCAGTTCAACAGGTTTCTCACTCAGGATGTGTACTGCAGCTTTTCTGTATTGAAACATGAAGTCTGGGGTGAATTCTGAGCAAATAAACACATGCCTACTTTATTCTGCATCATTTGCTTCCTTGTTGGTACAAAACTTAAAACATTGAGGCTCCCCTTATGTAGGATTCTTCAATATTGTGGTTTCATGGGCCAGACTGGATGCAACTTGTAGATTCGTGTAATATTCTGATGACTGATGATATCGTGCAATATTTTTATACATGAATAAAAAAAATTAAGCTGGGAGGTCAGTCATTTAGGGGATCCAAATATCCCTAGATCCATTAAACATTTTAATATATGGGACTACTTAATTCTCTTGGAAACACACACACGGCATCTTTTAATTAAAATGGCCCTAGGTGTAAGAATTAGCATTGCCGACTGTGTATCTTCAGCCTAGAATTAAACCACAGGGGAAAGCACACACTCTCATGACAACAGTGTACAGATGTTGCCTTCTATCTAAAAAGGTTCACCCCATGAGAGAAATGTGCATGTTGGGAGAAGCTTGCTCATTTCTTCTTTTGTATACCTCCTTAGGGGATCATGCCTTAGTAGCTGAGAAACATTTGTGTTGTTACGCCATCAGCATATAGGCAACTCCCAATTTACGTGGGGGTAGCATTCCAAGGCATCAGATGTTTAAGTAAAATCACGTTCATTTGAAGCACCATTGAGAAAGCCTGCAAACACCCCGTTCTGCCCCTTTACGTGACATTTTTGGGTCACTTCTGGGTTCGATGCGATGCACATGCGCACGCACATATCAGTTGTCATAAACAGTCACTGCCTGTATATGGTGCTTTACAGAGAAGACATGTTCTTGCTCCAAGGGGCTTACTAAATGTTGCCTTCTAATGGCCTCTCCCTGCCTCAGTGCTGGCAGTCTTTCAAATTTTTAGGTCGCCTGGTGCTATGTTTATTTGTGTTTATAATTTGATGATTGCCAGATGCTGTTTCTGGTAGCAGCAGCTATCATTCCACTTTGTTAGAAAGCCTTTGAGAACTTCCCTCTTCTTTAGTGAAGGGGAAATGGTTGCCCTCCAGATGTTGGATTTTGAGATTACAGTACTAGGTATGCGTCCAAAGCCAAGTGTGCACCCCACCGCTTTGAGACAATCTTTAAACCTCTTTTGTTGACCACCAGCATTACGCTTTCCATTTTTAAGTTTGGAATAGAGTAGTTGCTTTGGAAGACAATAATCTAGCATCTGTACAACATGACCAGTCCAACGAAGTTGATGTTGAAGAATCATTGCTTCAACACTGGTGATCTTTGCTTCATCCAGTACACTGGTATTAGTTCGCCTGTCTTTCCAAGTGATGTGTACATGTGGGTCCAGAATTGGCCTCCACAGTCACTTACGGATTAATTGTTCAAACCATGTTTATGGAAGACAATCTTACTCAGCTACGGGTGATCACCAAAGAAGAAAGAAGAACACCCCACCGCTCATGTGTATTCATGCACACACTACCAAGAGGTTTAGGAGCTTCTGCTTTAAATATATGGCATGTACACAGCCTTATTTGGACCTCTTTATCCTGGCTTTTCACACTTGAGATGCATATTTTTAGGACCCATCTTATTTCTGTGATTTTAAGTTGTTTCAAACTATTCACTAAATCTGTTTTAAGTGTCCCCTGCCCTGGGATATTAGGATGAAGGGTGGGTAAACAACAGGCAGAAAAATGATTAAGGGGTTCACCAAGATGCTCAGCAGTTTTCAAATGGTCTGAGAGTGGAAAGTTTGGAAATCAGTGTTGTTGACAAAGCAACAAAGCAACATCTGGGAGATCCTTGGCCACGGCTGATCCCAGAACGGAAAGGGGCGTGGAGAGCAACAGATAGCCAGAGGCTGCAGGAAAATAATAAAAGTCATTGCAGCAGCAGCTCGCCTCCCAATTCTGGGAAGCGCAAAGCGAGTCCATCGCGTGGTGAGCAGGCTCTCCCAAAAAAACTTTCCTGCCCACCCCAGGGACTCCCGAGGCATGAGGTTCTGCACCCCCTAACAAAAGCTTGCCCCCACAACAAAAATCCTGGCTACGCCCATGTCCCGAGTTGTTTGGCCACAGCATATTACGGACCCAGGTAGCGTAGATTACACTTGCTGAAAGCCTAGAGAGATTTCCTTTCCACTCTGAAGACAAGCCAGCAGGAACACCAAGCCGATAGTAAGGGATCAGAAAAGGAGGGGTGCACATCGCCACCTGCTTGTTGAGCAAATAGCTTAGTGAGGTTTCTTGGTAGTTGTATTGAAGTTTTGGAACCACTGTCCTATATCAGGAAAGTATTAATTAACCCTTTATATCCATTGTATGTCTAGTTCTCATACATCTCTCAGATAGGCTTCCTATATGTAAAAGGATGTCACATAGAGGAGGGAGAAAGGTTGTTTTCTGCTGCTCCAGAGAAGCGGACACGGAGCAATGGATCCAAACTACAAGAAAGAAGATTCCACCTAAACATTAGGAAGAACTTCCTGACAGTAAGAGCTGTTCGACAGTGGAATTTGCTGCCAAGGAGTGTGGTGGTGTCTCCTTCTTTGGAGGTCTTTAAGCAGAGGCTTGACAACCATATGTCAGGAGTGCTCTGATGGTGTTTCCTGCTTGGCAGGGGGTTGGACTCGATGGCCCTTGTGGTCTCTTCCAACTCTATGATTCTATGATTCTAATACAATAAGGGGGGTTCCGTTTCCTCCGTTTCTACTTGCTACAACTGGAAGCAGGTGGCTTCCAAGTGGGCTCAGCGTGCAATTACGTCCCCCTCCCTCCACCGCTGCGCTCCTTCGGTTTCGTCTTCTCCAAATGAGGCTCAGGGGAGCGCCAGTCCCAGCCCCAACCCTCCCTCCTCTCTCCCCTCTGCTGAATCCCTTCGCCACTCGGCCGTGGGCAGCGCAGGGAACTGTACGCCATGCAGAGCGCTTCACACCAACCCGTCGCCATCAACATGCAGTTCCACACCGGCTATGAGCCGAGCGCGCCGCCGTGTGCCTCCCGCGCCGGAGGGGTCGCCGCCCCGCCGCCCCAGGACCATGTGCTGTGGTCCCTGTTCAGCTTCTCGTTCCTGAACGCCTGCTGCCTCGGCTTCGCGGCGCTCGTCTACTCCATCAAGGTGAGGGAGCGCACGAGGGCTGTGCGGGTCTCCTCTCTGTCGCCACTGCAGTCTTCACTTATCTCTCTCCCCGTGATTGGGTAGTATTTCTTTCTTGCTTTTATGTTTCGTTTACAGGAGCATTCACCTGTCTTTGTGAGGCAGTTCTTTCTCTTTATTTCCTCTGTCTCCCATGCTAGGCTCACTACCACTTTGCGTTCCTTTCTCGGCAGGCTTTATACCTCTATTCGTTCATTAGACAGGTTGAATGATGATGATGATGATATTTATACCCCACCCATCTGACTGGGTTTCCCCTGCCACTTTGGGCGGCTTACAGCATATACAGTATAAAACATAATAAATTATCAAAGTTCAACAAATGCAGGTTCCCAAGGTTTGTTTTAAGAAACACTTTACCTGTTGAATTTCTGTCCGCCATACAGCTCTAATATTCATATGAGCCCTGAAAAGTGTCAACTCTTAACAAGCACTTAAAGGATTGTTCTCCACCTCCCTCTTTCCTTTCAAGTTTCCCCAGAAACCCCTTGAAAGTACATTATGAAAACTTGTACACCATGCTTATAACAGGATACATCTGTAAAACGTGTTCTTATTAAGTGATCCACAAGTTAGTAGAAAAACCTTCGGAACTGGTCTTTGGTTTTCTGGAGTATTTGTGAGTCGAGGACCCTGGCTGGTAGCTCTGGGTGAGAGTGGGGGGCAGGGACTGGGGCCAAGAAGATGGGGCAACTTACGGTAGATTGAAAGTTGCTCCTATCTCTAGTCCACAGACATGTGCATCTTGCCACCATGCTGCAAGTCGTTTCTGTTGCATGTGGATTATGATTCTAACCAATGCAGTTAAGTGTTGAGGAGTGTGTGTTTTGATAAGATTAGACAATCATGGAAAGTTTATTGGAGCTTTAGGCGTTCAGCATGTACAAATATATGTCCATTGTTAATTTTCATAATTAATACTGTTAAAAATTCTCTTCTCTCTCCTTTCAGTCTAGGGATAACAAAGTGCTTGGATATTCTGAAATTGCGGCTACCTATGGCAGGACCTCCAAGTGTCTGAACATCGCTGCTCTGATACTGAGCATCATATTCTTCATCGTTTTCATCATCATCATCGTTCACTACAGTGCATAGCAGCAATGGTGTAGATGAAGAGGAATGGCCACTGAATGTTGGCTCAGTGGCAAAGTGTGTGCAGAATATTTTCCCCAGCGTTATAGCACTTCTTGTAAGCTTTTGTTGCCTTTTCTTCTCTGAGGGTACCCACCCTACTCTTTCACTTGCAAGGAAGGAGGCATTCTACATGACACCTGGTACATCCTGCATTTCTGGAGATATAAAGGTCTCAGCACTGTTTGCCACGAAGGCGGAAGAGAGACTCTGATGTCATCTACAACTTTGCCATCCAGTTTGAGACTTTTATTGAGAAAATAAAGTGTTTGTACGAGTGTTTTTTCTTTGTCCAAGATTCGAATTTGTGGCCTTGCCTCTTCCTGTTACTCATGAGATCTAAGCAGTATTTTTTATGATATGTTTTCTACTTCAACAGGTTTATCACTCAAGATGTACCCTGGGAGTTTTTCTTTATTGAAACATGAATTATGAGATGAATTTTGAGCAAATAAAACTAAGTCCTTATTCTGTGTGAACATTTTCTTGATAAAATCATTGAACATTTTTCAGGATCTAAAACATTGAGACTCCCCTTTGTATAGTTCTCCAGCATTAATGCTTTACAGGCCTACATCCATATATTATCATGACTTTTAAATGAATAAATAAATAAATAGGGGGAAAATTAACTGGGGGACCATTAATTTAATGGAACCAAATGAAAGAGCATGATTTTGTACGTATGTATGGTAACTAAAAGGGTGTCAGATGTAAGAAATCACTCTTCTGTGTACTTTCAGCCTAGAATTAAACCACTAAAGAAAGCACATTTCTTCTTCTTTGGTGATCGCTTGTAGCCAAGAAAGATTGTCTTCCATGAAAACGGTCTTAATAGTGAGTCTGTAAGTGACTGGGAGGCCAATTCTGGATCCACACATCCTTCCACAGTGGGGACATAGGTTTCCTGGAGGGAGTTGATCACAGTGAGGGTTTGCCAAATATGCCTTCTTCTTAGCTCATTTCTCCTTCTTTCTCTGGGTTTGTGCTGCTTCAAAGTCCATAACACCTTTGGTAAAGGCTGCTCTCCAGCTGGAGTGCTCACCACAGGCCAGTGTTTCCCAGTTATCAGTGCTTATGTTACATTTTTTTAGATTTGCCTTGAGAGCGTCTTTAAACCTCTTTTGTTGTCCACCAGTATTTCGCTGTCCATTCTTGAGTTGGGAATAGAGCAGTTGCTTTGGAAGACAATAATAAGGCATCCAAACAACATGACCAGTCCAACAAAGTTGATGTTGAAGAATCATTGATTCCACACTGGTGATCTTTGCTTCTTCCAGTACACTGATATTCGTTTGCCTGTCTTCTCAAGTGATGTGTAAAAATTTTCTGAGACACCATTGATGGAATCTTTCGAGGACTTGGAAATGGCATTAATAAGTGGTCCATGTTTCATAAGTGTACAGTAAAGTTGGTCCTGGTCCTCAAACACTCTGTGCTTCAATTGACAGAAAGTTGCGCTTGCAGAGCTCAGGTGATGCTGGATTCCGGCATCAATGTCAGTCCTTGTGGAAAGATAACTGCCCAGGTAGGAAAAGTGATCAACACTTTCCAATGTTACACCATTAAGTTTTCCAGTTCAATAGGTTTCTCACTCAAGATGTGTACTGCAGCTTTTCTGTATTGAAACATGAAGTCTGGGGATCACGTTTGCAACCCGAGCGTCCACTGTATCTGAATAGCAGTGCCCATCAAATATTTTATGGGGGGCCCTAGGAGTTGGCTCCTATACCCCCGCCCCCTTTCTTAACATGAGAATGGAGGGCAGAAGAGAGGCATGGGATAGCCATCCTTTAGCTCGAGAGTGTTATTTTTACTTATTAGCCTTGATGGAGGGCCCAAATGGAATCTGTCTTTCCCACCGCCCTCACCCTGGAGACTAGCAGAAATCGCTGTGTAAACCATTTATGCCGGGAAGTCTGACACGTGTCCGTCAGAAGGGGTGAGCTATCTAGTGTCTGTTTTTAAACTTGCATAGGTCGGCAGTCTGGGCCAAAACGCACAGACTGGCAGTTGCAGTTTGGGCGAACGGGGAAGGGATGGGGGAAGACTATTAAAGTTCTTTGCTGTTTGGCAGACAGAACAGGAGGTGAATGAGGCTTGAGACAAGTCCTGCTTTTTCAAAGCTGTTTGTTGCTCACTATAAAGAGGAAGCCCCAGCAAACGATCTGGAAGCAGCCATTGAGAAATGATTCTCGCTGCAGCACCTGCGCAGGTGAATAAATTTAGCCTTCCTCGGAAAGAACTCGTGTCTGTCGTTATTGACTGGGAGAAATCCTGCAACAGCCTTATTACTGTACTTGCTTGTTACCTAAAAGCTCCCCGGACCCTGGGTGCTTCCCTAAGTAGGGTCTCCACCCCACGCGCCACCCCACCCCCCCACAGGTGAGCTGATCCTGAGCTCGCTGGGTTCAAGGAACTGTCAACATTTATTATTTTAGCGGACTTGCTGCCACCGACGCTTCGTGTTTCGGAGCAAACCGTCGGAGCACCACAGCTTCCTGCCTGCCTCTCCCTGCCTCTGAGTTTCATTTCCTACCAAATCGGTCCCCGCTCTAACTCGCCCCCGGTCGCTTCCCCCCCTCGTGGTTTTCTCAGAATCGAAAGCGGCGGCTTCTCTCACGCGCCGCCCAATCAGGACCCGCTCTCGGCCCGCGCCCCATTTCGCCTTAGCGGCCGGCCGCCGCCTCCTGCTCTCGCCGGCCCGCGTCGCCATGCAGCCCGTGTCGTCGCCGGTTGCCCTCAGAGTGGCTCCGCACGACCCGTACAGGCCGACCCCCGCGAGCCCCTACCCCTACCCAGTGGCCTGCGTCGTCGTCCAGCCCCCGCAAGACTTCGTCATCTGGTCGATGTTTAGTTTAACCTTCATGAACCACTTCTGCCTCGGTTTCGCGGCTCTCATTTTCTCCATCAAGGTGAAGCCGCCCTTTCCCACCCACGAAAAAAAGGGCGGGAAAGCGCCATTACCTCACTAACCCAGTTATTTGCCCCCCGCTTCCGGTTTTCTGCCGTCCCTCAGTCTTGGCTGCTTTTCCTCCCCATGGGACTGGATAGCATTTCTGCCTCCGCTTCTTGCTTTACTCTCATTTTCTGGGGCAGATATCATTCTTCTTCCACCCCATTCACTCAGGTCTTGGAGTGGGCCACAGACCCCTTCCCTTTCCTAGCAGCATTTGGCTTTAACAGCTCTCCCCTCATTGCCTCTGTGATGGGGGGGGGGAATCTCTACCTGTTAAATTTCTGTCCATCACACAGCTGTCACAGAGGCCCCTACCCCAACAGTGTTAACCCTAAACTAAAGCGTTCTATCCCCACCCCGCTTTCCAAGGGTGTTTTCATTCCCCTCACCCATGTCATCTAGCTAAGGATGGGTTGATTGATGGTAGGAACCAGGCACTGCTAGGCTGCAGGGTGGAGTCAGAGGCCTTTTAACACACCTTAGCTGCAAACAAAGGGGAAAAGATGGGTGCTCTATGTACTTTTCATTGCATGTGTATAAGATGGTATTTTATATATATATTGTCACAAAAAGGCTTGCTCTGGAAGGCTTAAAACAAAGTGCCACCAGCTTTTGTTTAATAGTCTATGAACCAAGGGCCTACAATGGCTTAGAATATAAATTCAAGCAATGTCATTAAAACAAAAATACAAAAACCAAATGGAATTCGGGAATTCAATCACAGAAAACACTGTCTGATCTTATAGGTAGAGAAAGCCAGAGCAAAAAGGTGTGGACAGTGTCCAGCTGACCTGTCCCATCAGCACAGTTTACAACTGTTCAATTGAACTTTCCCCCCTCGCGCCCATCTGTGTCCTCCTCCAATCTGTTCTGGAAGGTTGTGGGAACCCCTAGAGCAGACTGGTGGGCATGGGAACGGGAGAGGAGGGGACATTCAGTTCACAAATGGAAATCTTTATGCTGATGGGATGCATTAGTTGTTTACTGCCCTAGATGTCTGAAGCAACTGATGACGAGTTGCTGCTTCTCTTGTGGCAGATGGAAAGGCATAATACAGGAGCAATAGCAAAAAATGCCTCTTTTTGGGTCCCCTATGATATTCTGTATGGTGTGGTGCCACAAGAGGTTATCTAAATTAAGGTGGTTGATGTAGGAGCAGGCAGTCTTTCAGGTAACCTGCAATATAGTATCAACCACTTTCTAAGTCCCATGTCATTATAAGGACATGGTGGGGGAGAGTTTTCTTTCAGGAATGCTACCTCACTATAGTCCTTGGTGTAAAATAGAGGATGGACCACCCCTCAGGCTCTATTAACAGTTTTATCCAGAAATGAAATCTAAAAAACACTTTTCCCTCACATAATTTATACATTTCGTATTCTCTGTACTGTACCTTTCCTGTGATGCTCCCACAAATATTTCAGTAAATTATAGATCTTCTCCAGTGAGAAAGGGCCAAACTAGGTAAAATGGGTAAAAAGTTATTTTTTGGTAAAAGCTCCCTATTACCAACAGGCAATGAGGTAGATATGTTTATACTATCAAAAAAAGGCTGCCTCATTTATTCACCCCAAATTATAATGTACTGTGGAGAATAGAAGACATAAATGCCATTTGACCAATAGCACTTTCTAATATGTGCTGTGGTCTAAACCACTGAGCCTAGGGCTTGCTGATCAGAAGGTCGGCGGTTCGCATCCCCGTGATGGGTTGAGCTCCCGTAGCTTGGTCCCAGCTCCTGCCAACCTAGCAGTTCGAAAGCACGTCAAAGTGCAAGTAGATAAATAGGTACCGCTCCGGCAGGAAGGTAAACAGCGTTTCCGTGTGCTGCTCTGGTTTGTCAGAAGCAGCTTAGTCATGCTGGCCACATGACCCAGAAAAACTGCGGACAAACGCTGGCTCCCTTGGCCAGTAAAGTGAGATGAGCACCACAACCCCAGAGTCGTTCGCGACTGGACTTAACTCTCAGGGGTCCTTTACCTTTCATATGCGGGCAGTGTATCAGAATATAATTGCCAAGTAAATCATTAGTATTTGAAAAGAGTACTATCTCATTGCTAACAAGGATGCTGCAGTGGTAACACTGAGCAGGAAGTTCTTGGTTTGAAATGATTGCACAACAACCACAAAAAGCTCGTTTGACTTCCAGGTGTTTATAGCATGTGCAACGATATTTCTACTGCTAATTTTCTTTATTTTTTATTAAAAATACTTTTTTTTTTCCTCTACCTCTGCTTCAGTCAAGGGATTGTAAAGTCATGGGAGATAATGAAGGTGCAGCTATGCATGGCAGGAAAGCAAAGTACCTGAATATCCTTGCTTTGATAGTGGGAATCACATTCTTCGTTAGTATGGTCGCCGTGATTGCGTCTGATCCACCACCTTTCCATAGAGCAGTGAAAGCAATACTGCAGAGATACCAATGATTCGAGCTGGCTAAGTTGGAACTTGTATGTTAAGGATATTCTGCTCCGTACTGTATTTATATCCTTAGTGTGCATTGGCTGCACTTTCTTCTGCTTTGATTATACCCACTTTGCTCTTAATACTTTCAAGGAATGAGACAGTCTAAAGAAGACAGGACATCCGACACATCTGAAGATATAAAGGTTTATGCTCTTCTTTGCAGCTCTACAATCCCACCTTGTTTACAAGGACTATGAAAGGTTAGGGTGATCATCCTCAACTTCTTTATCCAGTTTGTGTTTCTCAATACCTGTCTCAATGTTTGAGTGATGTTTTCTCTGTCCTAAAGTCTGGATTTGTGGCATTCCTAGTTCATGATGTTGATGGGAACCATCACTCTTTCTGTTTCATTTTTCAGTATTTTCACAGGTTTCTCAATTAAAGTGTATTAGAGCTTTCATGTATTGAAATATGAAGTCTCTGGTGAATTCTCTGCAAATAAAGGCATATCCTTCTGATTCTGTGGAAACAGTTTTCTTATTGGTAAAAACAGTTAAAACTATTCAGGACTGAAACATTTAGGACCCCCACTGCATTTTTAAAAACATTAGTGTTTGGGCAGTTGTTTGATTCCCCTATCAGGGTGAAACTATGTATTAAACTAACGTTGCATCTTTCAACTAGAAAGGTTAATGCTTTTGAGTTTTTTAAATCTTAAGAATTTGGTTGGTAGAATGTGGCATTCAACCTTTTGGGACCCAGCATCATCATGGTCATACTGCTCATTATTTAACAGTGTTCACTTAACAGCTCCATTCAGCTGTAGCTGGCATACTGCTCTGATTAGAAATCAGTGTTCCTCAATCTTTTGGGCCTGGGTACATTTAGCATTGTGAAAAAGTGATGTGGGCACCACCACAAAACAGCAAGAAGGTAAAAGTAGCACCTAGCAAATAAAACATTGATCCTCTTGTATGATTATTACATGAGATGCCCTGTAAACCACTATCAAGTTAAAGCTTACATTGGTGTCTGCTGACTGTGCAGTAAAATTTAAAGACTGGCTGTTTACTACCACCATGGAACAAAAATGCACTGCAATGGCACAAAAACATGGACCCAAGGGACACGTTCTCATGAATTTTCATAATTTTTTAAACAGGTGTTCCAAACAGAATCACCATCAAATCACAGTACACATCTGTGGACACAGAGGTATTGGAGAAAATGCATTGTAAGAATCTTTAGAATCCATGCCTCTGTTCAATGTTTTGTGCCATTGTGGTATTGACAAGTTCTGGATTTGTAATTTGATGGTACAAAGAAGCTGTGTCTCTGTATGGGATGCTCCCATCCTCATCATGTGATAGACATTTTATAATCCCCCAAAATGGTTGCTGCATGATTAGGATGGAAGCTGACCTATACGGGCCACTTGGGTGTCAGTGGTGGAGAGTGAGAGTCTTGCTAGCACCATGTTGAAGGATGCCTAAGTTAAGAAGATAGGACTCTGTAAAACAGATTATCTACATCTTGAAAGTTGATAGATGCTCCTATGATGGCCTAAATAAATAAAATCATTTCTGTAGTGGTTAAAAGAGGAAAAGATGCATTCTAATGGGTTCCCCAACAGCTCAAGCAATCAAATCCTATCTATACATTTTCACTGTGAAGCACATAAGATTTCATCTTTAGTTGCACAAAATTATTTTGCATATGTAAGGCTGTGCAGTATAGCTCTGATGAGATTCGTGGAGCATAGCCATTTATGGCCCTTTGGAGTTGACTGAGGGCCATAGGATTGGCCCTACTGTTAAATGGAATGAGGTCACTTCACACAGCCTATGTCCTGTGGGAGGCAAGGAGCAGCAGAGGGGGAGCTGGAGGACAGAGCTAGCCTGATGCACTCTGTTCCAGTGGATACTGCCCTGTTGGCAGGTGTTTGAAGTAGGATTTAACTTCCAGTCTGTTCAGAAATTGGGCAGTCTTGGTGGTGGGACAGTCTTGTCATAGGAATATAGGAAGCTGCCTTATATTGAGTCAGACCATTGGTCCATGTAGCTCAGTATTGTCTACACTGACAGGCAGCGGTTCTCCATGGTTTCAGGCAGGGGTCTCCCAACCTTACATGGAGATGCTGGGAACTGAACCTGGAACCTACTGCTTGCAAGGCAGACTCTTGTCATTTGCCTTGGTTCAGCTCTCACATTGTGCACAAAGGGGCTTACAGGGTTGCAGAGATTGGAAGAGAGTTCAGAGTACATGTTGAGTAAGTTGCTTGAAGAAGTGAAAAAGGCAGAAGAAACTACAATGAGAATAAAAACAATCACACAGTGGAGGAGAGAGTAGCCTTCATGTTATACCCTCACACAGTGATCATACAGCAGCAGCAACTGCTCCACAGCCAGGGGAGTGACAGAGGAGGAGACTGACTATTTTGCCCTAGACTCACTCACCTGGGAATCACTTAGTAAGTGGACTTCATCCCCTTCTATTTGTAGTTTAAAACTTTGCCTAGAATTGTATACCTATATGAATTGTTCATCTTCTTTCCTTTTTTCCCCTTCATAAAATAAATAATTGCTCTTGTTTTTAATTAACAAGTGCTCTGTCCCTCCATTCCATATGCATCAGGAGAGGATGTGTAGGTATTGTTACTTTGGTGGGCTGCACTGGGGCTAACAGACTGAATTCTGGTAAGATGGAGGTCCATACCTGTAGCTGGTATGTGGCCTTTGACAGAAATAAGTTGTCCCACCTCTGGATTTGTAACTTCATTTCCCTCTTTTCTCTCTCCCCCCTGCACATGTGTGTGTGTGTGTGTGTGTGTGTGTGTGTGTGTGTACACCCACCCACACCCCTCCCTACCTGTCTAGTAAGGAAACCAATTCACACATCTGATCAAGTGGTGTTCAGAAGTCTATCCCATACCATAATACCATTGTTTAATCTTAAAACCCTCTACTTTTTGCTTAGCCTTCTTGCGCTTTTTCTTCTAGCCACGTGATGGAGCCAAAGAAAAGAGACTGGGGGAGCCTGATGTTCTAACATTTATACTGTAGTTATATATATAACCTTGACTTGCAAGCTTTTGAGCTTCTTTCACAGGCTACTTTTATAGCAGAGACCTGTGTTTATACAGCTTTGGGTTTTATAGGAAGACCAGTAAGTGGAAAGTCTCATTGACTTTTAATAGCTGTAAGAAAGAAAATGCCTCTTCTGTGCAACAGATACAGGGGTGAGTTCTATCCTCCTTTGCGCTAGTGTTGGAAAGCCTGCCACTATCATACTGTATCCCTCCTTTTTCATTATTAGGGCCAAAGGGCTGCAGTTCAGCTGGTCAGATCCACTGGCATCACAATGGACTGAATGATCCTTGTCACGAAGGAAGGGCCACCTGCTGCAGTAAACAGAAATCAGTTGTAGGGCAACTCAGCAAATAATTTCATACATAAATCCAGTTGACTGAATTTCTAAAGAGACGGAGCTCGTTTACTTTTAATAGTTGTAGGGAAGGGTTTTGTTTCTTTTCTTTTTGGCAAGCAAAGCGAGTCAGGTGGGGATGATAAAAGCTGCCCTTGATAAAAAAATCCCTACAGAATCTTTGTCCTTTAAGCTTAGGACCGAGTTATAAGGTGACAGTCCTAAACAATAAGCATGATTGCTTGTTATGGAGGGTGGGTGATATTGGTGTCCGGACTGAGATCTCTCTAGTGCACAGAGAGGAGAGAGGTGCTGGGGAAAAGAGAGACAGGTAATGGAGACACCTGGTCCATTTCCATACATCTTTGCATTTCCTCTAGCCCAGCGTGTTCTATTGCCCATAGATATCTGAAACACAGGGCAGTTCTCTGCCTTTCTTTTTTGGGGTGCACACACTTCACTGTCAGATTCACCATGACATAGTATGATAACCCTTGCAGTTATGTTATTGTTGGGTAATCCAATAGCTACCACAGTTACAAACATTTTTTCAAGTTCTACTAGCAGCAGCAGCAGCAGCAGCAGCAGGAGCAGGAGCAGGAGCAGGAGAAGTACAAACATCAGTGGTGTGCTAACAGCCATACAGGAGTGATACAGAGCCAAACTGACTACAATGCAGGAGATCCCTTAACTGTAAAACAGGTACACTGTTCTAATGTTATTATTAACAGTGGCAGTAGGAGGAGAATGTCTTTAAGGCTTCATATTCTAATGCAAATCCCTTTCTCTAAATTGCCCGCAAAGCTCAAGTTATCCCCACAGGAAGGAAACACAGGTGCAGCTCAACTGTTGTAGCTGTTTTCCCCACTTCACCCTCCCAGGGGCTGATAGCAGCTTCAGGAAAGTGATTTGAATCCAGGAAGTAATACGGGGGGGGGGGGGGAGAGTTAAACACCTGTACCTCAAGCACTACAGCTCTGATCAAAGGGTTCAGCCAGACTTGCTTGTCTCACTGCTTTCCCCTAGGGAATCCTAATCTTTACTGCTGAATCAGAGCAAACATCCATCAGGTTTTCTCAGGAGTGAGGTTGGTGAGCTCCCATTGCTCGGTCCCTGCTCCTGCCAACTTAGCAATTTGAAAGCACGTCAAAGTGCAAGTAGATAAATAGGTACTGCTCCAGCGGGAAGGTAAACAGCATTTCTGTGTGCTGCTCTGGTTCACCAGAAGCGGCTTAGTCATGCTGGCCACATGACCCAGAAGCTGTATGCCGGCTCCCTCGGCCAATAAAGCAAGATGAGCGCCGCAACTCCAGAGTCGTCCGCAACTGGACCTAACGGTCAGGGGTCCCTTTACCTTTATTGCTCAACAGCAGGATTTCCAGCAGTGGGGCAAGGGCAAAACCACTCAGACCCATGCCTAGAAAGCATGGGAGAAAGCTTGTCCTGTGTGTTTTCGAGGCACAGGACAAGCACAGTTCTAGATGAGGTCAAAGTTAGAACTCACAAGAAGGTAAGAAGGGCATGAAGGATCAAGCGAATGACCCAGCCAGCCCAGCATCCTGTTCTGACAGTGGCCACCCAAATGCCTGTGGGAAATCCTTAAGTAGGACCAGAGCGCAAGAACGCTCTGCCCTACCATGTTTTCTAGCATACTGCTTCTGACCATGGAGGCAGATCATAGTTATCATCAATGGTAGTCATTGGTAGCCTCCTCCTCCATGAATTTGTCCAATCCTGCTTTAAAGCCATCCAAGATGGCGGCCATCACTGCCCCCTGTGAGGTCAAATTCTATAGTTTAACACCCTGTGCTTTCTTTTAGTGGCTTTTAAAATCTTTTTTTAAGTCAACAGCACAAACTCTTTGCATCTTCCTGGTTCAGCCCACCATTTCTACATTTTGCAATCTACATTAAACAGTCCTCATCTGTTTAATATAAATTGTAAAATGCAGAGATGGTGGGCTGAACCAGACACAATGCAGTCATCAGCTGGCTTTTTGCTTTGTTGTTTTTCAGCCCTGCCAAAGCAAGGCCTCAAAAAATTACTTGAAAACTCATGAATCTTTAGTAAAAGGCAAAAGTTTTATACGATCTGAAGAGAAACCAGAGTATGTCAGCTGGCTTTTAAAACCTTGTAACCTACGAGTGCAAGGGGAAAGCACTGGAAGGGTAAGAAGCAAGAGACATTTCTGCAGGGATGGGGGTAAAAACCCCTGCAAGATAAGGTTTGTTAGCTCTGTCTGCCGTTACCTGATGACCTCACACATATGAGAGTACTTGCCCTGTAAGTAGCACCCTGTCGTGCTCCAGTTTGTATCTGTCCTGTACTTGCCTTTGAAGACAAGTGCCTGAATTGCTGGAGCTCTCTGAGACGGCGTTGGGCCAACACCAACCACAGGGTTATAAAAAGCACTCCTTGTCCAAGGGAGCGAGGGCAGGCTTGGAAACCAAACAGTTCTCTCAGTCCTGGCAAAGCATTTCTGATAACCACAGTCAAACCAGAGCTGCAATTTCCCTGTTTTATATATAGATGGAGATGAATCTGTGCCTTGGCTGGGCACTATATAAACGGCTGTCACTGCCTTCCCCCGCTCACAGGCTGCCACTGCTAGGAAACAGTGTGATTCCTCCAAGGAAACAGTGTGTGATTCCTCCAACTGGAGCCATGGACACTTCTTATCCTCGTGAAGACTACCTGCCCATGTCTTCCCGTAAGCAGGAACCTTCTCCAATGGTCATCACTGTCAAGCCTCCGGTGGTCCCCCGCGACTATATGATTTGGTCCGTATTCAACACCATCTACATGAACCTGTGTTGCCTTGGCTTTGTCGCCCTTGCTTATTCTGTCAAGGTAGGAAGATTCTCCACTGGTTCTTATCTCTTGGGCCCTGCACTGGGGCTACGTATTTGCCTGGAATGGCCCCTCCAGAGAATTCTGGTTGAGAGCAATTCCTGGAAGGCAGCTGTGGTATTTGGTGGCATCAGTTACACAGAATCTGCTATGGAACCTTAGAGATAAGGAGGAAAGCATTTCAGTCTATCTGGGGTAGTGGAGATATCTAGGCATAATGATGAAGAGTGCTGTGAAACTCCAGAGCCTGTCTCTTACTGTTTCACACAGCAATTCCATTCCATAGTTCCTCTTCTAAAAACAACAGGGCAGATTGCAACCCTGAATTTAAGTTTTAAAACGCTGGTTTCCCCAGAGGATTGTAGCATGCATTTCAATTGGTTCCGGTATAATAATTTTTCCATTTCTCTCTGTTCTCCAGATTATGAAGCACTTTTAAAAAGGCAAAGGAAACAGAAGTAGAAATTGAAGTAGAAATATCTAGTAATCGGGGAAATACCACAAACTCACTGCACCATAACCTGGTCATGTGTGAAACTGCTGGAAGGAGAGTTGAATTCCTGGATAGCTGTGGTTTTTCATGAAAGTTTAAAGAGCAAAATACAGGATAACAGAGACAAAAATTTACACTTGGTGCAGAAATGTGACTTCAGGAATCACTTGGTGGCTACTAAATGTTATACCTGATAGAGCACATGCTTCAAACTGTTCATTTTTATGCAGATGACATTTCCCAGTATGTAGCTGCAGAAAATAAATTTGGGAAGGAACCAAATTCTCCCCACCTCTATGTACACCAGTCTTTATAGCTTATTGTTTGTAATATTGTATTGTTCAGGAGAATACTATGCCTTTTAAAAGCTGTGACACCCAAAAATATTTCAAAGGAAATGTTTCCTGGTATGGAGATTAATGGGGAGAAAGACTTAGCTACTGCATATTGTCAACTAGGCTGTTATTTAAAGGTGCAGGAGCAGCACCAGCAAAATAAAGAAAGAAAGAAGTTAGCTATCCTGAAGTGAAGCAAATATTGTAAAGGACGCACAGGGGCAAGAGTACAATAAAATGTATAGGATTGATTTGTGGTGTGTCATACCGTCCCTTCCATTCCCACTGGCTCAGGCTGATTTGTTGATAGTTCATTAAATTGTGTAATTAATAGTCTGCAGAGAGGAAATGGGATTAAGAGTTGGGACAGGCTATTGTAAAGGCACTGTAGCCAATATTTCAACACATTCCTGCATGCGGAACTACTGCTAAGTTAGTGATTTATCCAGAGATAAGAAAGCTACTGTACACTCTCTTTGGTTTGTGATTGATGTAATGATTGTAAAAAATTATTTATGTATTTATTACATTTGTTAGTCATTTTGTCTTGCCCAGGGCAACCCAAAATGACTTACAAAGAATTAGATTGGCATTTAACATAACAGGAAAGAAACAGCAGTAACATGTAAGTAACCAGAATCTCTCTAGACCTGGAAAAGGAGTTTGGAAAGCCAGGCTGGAGAGATGGATGTGGGTTGGGAATCAACATTATGTAATGAATAGCAGAAGTAAAATAGGTCACTGGTTCTAGAGAGATGGAACAAGGATGTGCCATACTTCTGTCCCTGTGAAAGCTCCAGCTTGTGCATCCACTGGCCTACTGAGCACCCACTGGCCTTTAAGCGCATGGAGCATCTTATGCTGCCACTTTGGGACTTCTAGCACTAAACGGATGTGTATGGAATGCAGGAACAAGTGCTCACTATAAGGCAATGCCAACTTGTGTGGGCTTCTGTAAGCCATTCCTACATCTGGATGGTGTCACGTGTGCCAACCATCACCCACCCAATTTGCTTTGTGAACTTCAGGGGAATAGAATGAGGACTGACCCCAATACCACAGGCACTGTGTAGACCAAAGAGACTGACCAAATCCAGCTCCCAGACATGCGTAGCTGTCTTGACATAGTCGCTTCTAACATTGTGACTCCAGTTTTGGGTGTTGTCCTTCTCAGTTGTGTTGTTCTGCTCTACACAGGGGGTTTCCCTTCCCCATCGCTTTCTTTATGTGTAGCCTTACTAATGCTCTGTGCCTTTTCCTTCTTCTTTCTTGAAGGCACGGGATCAGAAGGTGTCTGGTGACCTGGAAGCTGCCCATCGCTACGGCTCCAAAGCCAGGTGCTACAATGTCCTTGCCACAGTGTGGAATGTGGTGCTGCCGCTCATGCTCATTGCTCTGGTGATCACGGGCGTCCTCCACCTCTCCAAGCTGGCTCAGGAGTCCATGGACTTTTTGGCTTACAGACTCTTTCCTAACGATGATGACAAGAAGTGAGCCGAGGGTCTCGAGCATTCCTGCGAATGTATTTTTGACCATTAATATGGCTCTTTACTGAAACTGTCAACTGGTGTAACTCATCCACTACGCACTACAAAACATCTGCTAGCTGTAATTCAGATTATCTTGTGCGTTATACTGATGCATTAATGTACCTTGGAACTCATCTCCCAGGTCACCCTTTGGGGTTGCAGCAGACGAAGAAATTAATCCTTGGCGTTCTTCATAAACTCACGGCTGAGCTGCCCATCACAGTGTTTGTTCTCTCTGTCTCTCATCTTCCTCTCTGCTGGGCTTTCACACACTTGGCAAACATGCAACAACCATACAGAAAGCAGATAGCCCAAGATATACTGATAAAACTATTAAATATACTTGTGTAAACTGCATACTATATTTACACCATGCATACTATTTGTCTTTTATTTTTGCTAGTTTGTGTGTTTTCAGTGTAGTTTCTATCTGCAGGAGGTTTGTATGAATATTAGTGAACGTATGTTGAGGCATATGTGTTAAATTGTACAAAAAATGTGATATTTATTCTTTATTGGCCTGATCACAGCTATTCAATCTGTTATTAAATAATTAGTTTCCATGGTGACTGCTGATTGGTATATGTTCAGACATGTGGTGGCTTATCTACAGAGACATATTTAATCTATTAGGAAGGATCCTAAAGTCACCATCTTTTATCTTGTATTAGCAAATCAGGTGGATAATAATTACCCTAGAACCTTTTTATGTTTCCTTAGGTACAAACCTTAGAACATTCTTTTTAAAGCTGCATTTTCTTCTTCCCTGACTCCAGTCTATCTTGTTACTATTTAAGTACCGTAATTAAATAATTCTACAAGTTACCATTCTGTTGTGCAAGTCTGTATTAATAGAAACAAAATGGGTTGTGTCACCTGGGTTTTCAACCTGTATTTCACAGCAATAAGAGCTGGACACCCATTTTAATATTAACACAAACACAAGTCTTTGATGGGTTCACTCAGGTCCAGAAGCACAATGCCTGTGGGCAACTTTCGGAATGGCCCTTCATTTATGCAAACACTCCTCCATATCTACAGCCTTGAAGGCTGCAGCCACAAAACAAACACGTAAGCATGAGATTTTATGGAACAGTGGGAGGAATACAGACACGTCCCAATTGACTTGGCCAAGGTGAGAAGAGGGCACAGGAGACAGTGACAGAAATGAGCTTGGCAGAAGCTTCAAGTATCCTCACAGTGCAATCATACGCATGTCCACTCCTATGGTCAGTGGGGCTTCCTCCCAAGGAAGTGTGCATGGGCTTTCTACTTAAATCTATATTTAAAAGTGAGGTCAAGATAACGTTGCATAATGCACCATGGACCAAGAGACCAAGCTTCTCTAGAGATAGCTTGTTTTAGATGGGCATGTGTTTGAAGAATCACCCCAAACCATTTGAAAACATTCAGACATGGTCTGTGCTGGTTCAGATAGCTTTACACCTGGCCAGCTTTATTGGTAGAAAGTCCAAAACTGGTGCAAGTCCAAAACTGTCAGCATTCACCCTCATGTAATGAGGTGCTCATGACCTCTCAGTTTGGCTTTCATTCTGAATGCCGAGTTGGGGAACCTTAAGTCTATGGGCTGAAGGTGGCCCTTTAGGGTTCAAAGCTCTCCCCAGGCTCTACTCACCCTCACTGGTTCTGGCTCCTAGCCAGAGTGTCCCTTTCTGGCTAGAATGTGTCCTTGTTCTCTGATAGTGCTTCTTGCTTCTCTGGACAAATGACTGAAAGAGGCGTGCAGATGCCTGTGGAAACTAACCCTCCCTACATAAAGAAAATTTGTGTTCCTTGCTCTGCCCACATTTGCCTCTGGCCCTGTCCAACACTGGCATGCAGCCTCTGGAAAGGAATGAGGCCCTCAAGCTGAAAAAGTCCCCCCACCCCTGCAGTAAAGGCATAAATGCAACATCTGCACATATTTCCGTGAGTCGGTTTGCACCGGTTTGCTGCTAATACTCAAACCTGGATCCCAATAGCAAAGTGCAAACACTTGCATGTAATCGTTCCTGTGCTGTTTGCATGTGCTGTCAGGCAACCGTCTCACACCTTGCTATTCTTGCTGATCAGAGTCCCTGATAAATAAATGCACCTACTTTCACAATGAAGCAATTACAGTGGCACAAACATGGCCTTCGAGGAAATGACTTGTAGTAATTTACCAAGCAGGGACGGATGCCAGCAGTCTCACACATTCACGTATTATCTTTCTCAGTTTACATGAAATACAGGGTAACAGCAGTGCGAAAACTCATCTGAAAAAGTAAAGATAAATGCAATTAAATAATCACAAAGGTGTCTGTATATATCTGCATTCCTGATCTACTATTGATATATAGGTACAAAATAACCAAATCATCACATGCCAGGATATTTCTGCCTTGCTTGGCCATTTTGTATTTCTCAGAAGATGTTCTGCTAAATGGCTATTGGTTCACAACCCCTGGATCACATTCCTCCAAGGCTGACCTGTCATTATATTCCTGGCTACGTTTAAGAACAGGGACTGCAGTGTAGTGCAAAACTGTAATTTAAGAGTTTTGCCTCTCTCTCCTCATGTCAAGTGTTCATGTACTGCTGTTTGTTCTAAAATAGTTCCCTAGCATAAAAAGGCAGCTTTCATCTTTGGTCACGCTCCGGTCGTCTGTCCTGGCCATTATCTCTTTTGCCTGCCAGGGTGGCAGGTTTCCCACAGAACAAGGTTATTTCAATCCAGGATAATAGCAGTGAAGTTCTGCACTTTGAAGCCTTTGTGGCTAGCTGCTTTGTGGCCTTGCTTTAACATTGCACTCCCATGTTTTCAGCATGCTTTTGCTTGATGGTGGCATGAAATTGCCAGCACTGCTGAAAGCCCTGGGACAATAACAGTGTTGTTATTATCAGCTATATATTGCAGCCTGTGGCTTTGGAAAACCAATGGGATGTGCCATTCACTAATAGAACTCTTTCATTAGCATCTTGACTGAGCGAAACAGAAAGCTAATTGGGTAGTGCACAGACACACATCTTTCAGCTGGCAGAATGCTGGCTGAAGCACCTTTTTACCTTTAATTGGAGCACTTATTCCTGATTTTCAGATTGGTTATAATATTTTTTGGTTTGTGCAGGACTTGCTTCTACTAGTTAGTGAAGTTCACCCCCCATTTAAGGATGAAATCCTGTGCATACATACTGGTAAAGTTCCCATTAGTTCCCGTGTCTAGGAAATGGGGAGCTGTCCTGTTCTGAATGAAGTTGCATTCCCCCGAAGGAGCAGGTTCATCGCTTGGGGATGCTCCTGGATCCAGCTTTGTCCCTGGAGGACTAGGTGGCTAGGAGTCCCTATTTCCAGTTCTGGCTAGTTGACCAGCTATATCAGTTCCTGGACTGGGCTAGCTTTGCCACAGTGATCCATGTGATGGTAACCTTACCTCCTAGCTAGATTACTGTACTGCACTCTACATGGGGCTCTTCTTGAAGATACTTTGGAGGTTGTAGTGGTGCAAAATTCTGCTGCTCGATTAGGGAGGAGGGTATCAAGTCAGTCTCCATGAACTGCATTGGCTGCCTATTCATTTCCAATCTTACTTCAAAGCATTGCATTGGTTTACAAGGCTCTGAAAAACTGGGACCCAAGTACCTGATGGAGCATCTCATCCAGTATGTGCCAAACTGACAGTTAAGATCTCTAGAAGGGTTCCTCTTTGTGGCCCAACACCTAGGCAGAGTCTGGGGTGGCGGTGACCCATGTAAGAGCCTTCTTAGTTGTGGCACCCTCCTTCTGGACGCGTGTCAGGTGTCTTCTCTACTTCAGTTTCACAGTTTGCTTAAGCAGCACCTTTCCCCCACAATCCTTTGGGCCCTTGTGAAATGTGAACAGTTTGATTTAGTTTATCATAACTATTTTCTTGCTGCTTTTCGTTTTAGTTGTGTGTCATCTGATATTTTATTGCATACTGCTCTAGGATTTATTTATGAGATAATATATAAGACCCATTGAACACTGTGCAACTTACTTCTGAGGTGCAACTCTCTGAGAATGAAAACAAAGCTGTTTGCAGGTCTTTGTAACACCTTCAAGACTTCTGGCAAGGCCTGCTCTTATTTTGAGGACAGTGGCCACACTCAAGCTAAATTTAGTCCCATCGAAAGTAATGGGACTAAGTTTGTCACATTGGTTAAAGTGGGACTTATAGTGTGATCCCTGTGCAAGTTTGCTCAAAAGTAAGTCCCATTATTCCCAGTTAGGATATATAGGACTACCACCTAAGCCGTGACCAGTTTAGCTGGGTCTACTGAAGAAACAGTAATTCAGAATGGATTCCTTCATGCTTAATCCTCTCCCACTAAAATCAATGGGATTCAAAAGAAGTCCCTTACTTTGGTTGCATTGTACCCAACACAGGTATCTCTCAGGCCCTTCAACATGGGGAACTGTGCTGATTACATAGAAGGCCTCTGTCCTGGATTGCAGAGTCCCCTTTAAATAGAATTGTTCTCATCTTCAGTCCAGTACTTTCCTGTACCTCTAAGATCCCCAGTCCCACAGATGTTCCCCCTCAGTGGGTCATTCTTACATGTACATGCATAGAATTGATGTCTAAGTGTGAAATGAAACCTGCATCCCTCAAGCCAACTACAAAAGGGGGAAAGAACAAGTTTGGGGGAGAGGGTTCCCTCCCACTGACCCACCCAGCCAATGTGGTTTTCTGATGATGAGGGGTATGAGTGGTTGTTGTTTTTTTATAAAAAAAGACAGGTCTTGATTCTCAGCCAGACTAATTACAGGGCAGAAAGCCTCGTTTCTCTCCCTCCTTAAACATTCCCACATGCTGACACGAAGCTTGCAGTCTTTTTAAACATCTGTGTTGGTTTAGGATTTCTTGAATGTGTTTGAACAGAAGCTCCTCCTTTGCCGATATTTAGTTTTCTTGTCCACATGCCGTGTGCGTTAACACGATACCAGGTGGGTGAGAGAAAGAG